CTGTCACTGGACTGACCAGAGTCTGGCCCTATCCTCTGACAACCCTTAGAGACATTTGTATGGATTGAGATCCCTTTCAGCCTTTTCTTCTCCAGACTAACTGGGCCCAGCCCCACAGTTACTCCTCACTGGAGAGATGCTCCATCCCCTCATGATCTCTGTGGCTCCACTGGACCCTCTCCAGCAGCTCCTTCTCTTCCTTGCTGTGAGGAACTCCCCTCACTGGCCCTATCCTCTGACAACCCTTAGAGACATTTGTATGGATTGAGATCCCTTTCAGCCTTTTCTTCTCCAGACTAACTGGGCCCAGCCCCACAGTTACTCCTCACTGGAGAGATGCTCCATCCCCTCATGATCTCTGTGGCTCCACTGGACCCTCTCCAGCAGCTCCTTCTCTTCCTTGCTGTGAGGAACTCCCCTCAGCCCATCAGGACACTCTTACCTGGGGAGGCTTTTCCTTTCCGCACCAGCAGCTCCAACCCCTTGGAGGTGACACTCAGCTCTCTGCTCTGTCCTGTGAACCTGCTGGTTCCTGAGGATCCCAGTTTACTCTTCAGGAAAGAAAATCCCTTGAGCACAGCATGGCACTGATCTTCCACAGCAGCCAGAGGGAGCAGCAGCATGACCAGGGAGCTGAGGAGCAGCACCAGCACAGCTGCCCAGCGGATCCGAACCCACAGGCTGATCCATTGCAGCTCTGGATCCGTCGCCATCGACACCAGATTCATCCTGCTTCCAGCACAGGCACCAGGAACATCTCCTCTCCCACTGCTCCCACCTGCCAACACACACAGCTTCAGCCAACGCTCCGTGGCTCATGGGGTAAGAGCTGATCTGAGCACAGCTGCTCTGGGTTTGTCCAGGGGGTTATCCCAAGCACCTCTGAGCTGTTCTCAGTGGGACACAAATCCATGTGGGATCTGCTGTGCCTTAGTGTGACAGCAGCAGCAGGAGGAGACACAAACCCTGAAGCAGCATAAGCTCTGCAGGGATCCAGGAGCTTCCCACCCACTCCAGGCCTGTGACCCCCCCAAACCAGAGGCTCCAAGGCTCCATCACAGCTGTGTAAATCCCTCCCCTGAC